TCCACGAAGGTTATTATACTTGATTGTTTTAAATACTAGCAGTTGTACAGTAATTAAGGTTTTACCTTCGCAAATACTTGTAAATTCCTTTGATACTTGCTAGTTGATTATGAAATACGGGTTTGGAGTAAAAAAAAAACGTAAAATGATTCCGAATTCTTAAATTCTTTGAGCTTGTGGATTTTACCTTTTGGATATTATCTCCGTGATGCTTTCTTCTCGCCAGAAACAATAAATCTTAAAAGTAATGCTTATATGCAAACGGATCTTTCATAGAAACATAATTGTAAATGACACCTTAAAACTTTTCATCTAAATTATCAGAAACTTACTGGCATCGAACATTTTAATCACGTTACAATAATACAACATGACTATACATATTTTAATAGTTAATTATAAAGTTTTTTGGCTAAATAATCGTCTACTATTAAGAATTAAGCGTAAGGGTAACATCGGTAGGACGTAGTAATCAATGACATAATTTTCAAACTGGACATTTGTAAATAAAAACAAAGTACAGACAACTCTAAGAAATCAGGAAAAAATTTGACACTGTATTTATATCATTACTTCTAAAAAGATAAAAAAAACATTTTTTTTCGATTCTAGCAAATGTCGCATCTTAAGTAAACTGTTATAAATGCTAATCTACAGAAAATGTTGCCTAAAATGTTCTACTAATTAAAATCGTGCCGTTAAAATTTTCAAATATTTTTCATCAACTATCCTTGTATCTGTCTATATTTCTGAGATGAGGTATTATGTACATTATTTACATTATTCGGACTATTGTCTTTGTCGCAATATTTATTACAATATATATTTATTACGCTCCGGCCTTCAGAAGAATGTCGTACTGAACCCTTTATTTCGCTCACTGGGGTAGACTGTTCTAGTTCCACGTGCCATGTTTTTAATGTCAGTTATCAGTTATCTCCTGTTAATTTCCCTCTGAAAGTTCTCCACTGCCTTAACCGGGTATTGAACTCACACTCTTTGGGTCCTGTCACTGGATCTGACCAACGTCTTTATCTGTGTCTTTATCCCTTGAGGACATCTGTGGATGAATTTCTAAGTATTATGAACCTAATGTCTTCAGCAAACATTTTTTACCAGTGCTCATATTGCAAACTAACTATCTTTGTGTTTTGTTATAATCTAAATAAATAAACCGCAAATGCTGTCTGTCCGTCCGTGTATCTCAAATTTCTCTAACTCGGGACATACATATTTTATATGAACATATACCTTTTTGGAATCAAGATAATCCTGGGATTGAAAACCTGCCCTCCAAGTGGTGCTTGAACATCCAGAATTGAGATTTATTCCAAGATGCGGAAGAAACAGTTGAAAATTCAAATTTAAAAATGACTGAAAAAAATTATAATTTAATATATATTGAGTTTAAAGTAACAGAAAAACCTTCTTAATTTATAAACATTTTTTTAAGTTCAGTTTAAAATGTCTCCACAATTTAGTGAATTTTATTTCTTCAAAATGCCAAGGAATCAGAGTTGAAGCGAAAAGTTTGGTGATGATGAGGTTTTCAAGTTCCACGGAGTTTGTGATTTGAAGAACTCAACTCAACGGAAGTTCCACGGAATTTGTGATTTGAAGAACTCAATGTTCGGCCGGAATTGGAATTTCGCTCCAAATCGGTATTTTAGCCGGAATTGGATTTATTGCCTGAATCAGAGTGTGACGAAAGACATGACTTACCTCAGAACTCGAAACGAGCGCGAACGTGTCTTGCCTGCAAAGTGATGACAAAAAGAAATATGGCCGCTATTGAAGACATAATTTATGCACGCCGATATCGTCCAAAACGAGACGATATTTGCAGACATGCAAATTTTGGCCGTACTGGAATAGCATAAAAAGAGGGGTTCCAGCAGCACCAGTGAAGGGGTAGTCATTCGGCGGACTGCGTGCAATAGAGCTGGACGTTGGTGTCTGTTTCCCAACTGCCCAGTGTAACGGCTGAGAAAGGGAGTCACGCAATCCATTTCCTTGAGGCGACCGAAGAAGAAGAACGAATAGCTGGCCTGCCGGCGAGCACCGCGCTGCACTTTCTGACCCCCACCCCCCAACTTTCTCATCACCATTTTTTTTTTTTTTGCTACACAGAGTTTGTGAGATTTTGAAGTTCGATGGAGTGAATTGATGAATTCAAAGTTATTTCTTCAAAATTATTATTGCTGATTTTTAAGCTGGACCTGAATTCCCTTTAGTTTTGGACCCAAGTCCTAATTAGGTCCTTTAAGCTAGTAAGTGAATATGATAAACACTATTAAGCTGGTTGTAAAATTTTTGCACTAGTCATATTAGAGCTTTTTATTTATTTTGATAATGTTCATAACTATAAGCACTATTGATTTTGATTTATTAAGAGCTCAATAACTGAATGCTTGTCCGCAAGGCGTGTAGAATTTAGTCTATAATTGGTTGTCTCAGCATTTTATTTCTGTGGTAAAATTCAGATGCGAACCGTCAGAACATGATTAGAGAGTTCCAGTTAAGTAAGAACAAAATCTTCATTTGGTTTTTCTGCAAACTAATTGTAATCGGTTTGTAATAGATGCTGTCTAATGAGGCAAATAGCAACACATTGAAATCGGTGATGGGAATTACTTCGCCTTTCATCAAATGACTTCGAACCACACGATTTGTTTGGGAAGGAATCAGGCACCAGTGGTTTTTCATAAAGCAGAAATTTCATCGGCATCCAAAACAGATAAGCCTTTACTTTACTTGTAGTACCATACTTTACAAGAACGGAAAATATTAGCCATTATATACAAGTTCAGACACACCCGTATATAATTCTTACTACTATAAAGGTTATATTTAGAGATCACACGTGTTTGAAAAGATATCTTTGTTGCTGTTTTTTTCTTTTTGTTAAATAGAGAAAATTGTATTAACCAATCAAGAGAGTCTAAAGAAATTGCGACTCCAGAGGGGAATCGAACTTGTATACATTTTCGCCATGAAGGAAACAATTTCAAAGTTGTGCATGCATTACCAATTAGGCTACGAGAGAAAATCGCTCAATTTACCTATTGCTCTTGTTGGCACCTTTCTGATGACTACTATATTCACGAAATTTATTTTAGTCGTCAAAACGTAAGTAAAATATTTTTAAAGTAATTCATGGATTTTTTTAAATTTTCAATTATTCCTCATTACTATAAAAGTTAATAAAATAACATTCTGTACTTAAGGAAAGATGCGTTTTTTTCTCGCCAAATAGTATAATGATCAGAAGAGAATCGTATAGTAGTAGCGTAGAGAGAGTGAACATATAGCAATGGTGCATAGACAAGAAAGAGTGAACAGCTATCGTATAGCCATCACTCTACTTCCTATTTATTCACTTCCTTTATGATCACGTGATCTGCTTAATAATGGAATCGCCCATGTTACTCACTAGCGATCTAGTTTCAAACCACAGTGTCGTCAACATTTACTCTTATGTAACAGCATTTTTTTATGGAAATGTTTTTTTTTTTTTTTCAGTTTCAGTAGCTGTTATCGCTCGTCTTAGTATCGATAGGAGTTTCTTTCCTAATCTTTTATTTGCAGTAGTGTTGGATTTCAACATCTTGATTAAGTCATTATTTTCTATTCCCGTGTGCTATTCATTTTAATTGTTGCTGCTGTTGGTAGTCATCAAGTGATGTAGTTCCCTATATTTGGTACAGTTCTTTGTTTGTAATCGTCTGGCCACAATGTTCAAAAAGGGATGACCCTTTGGCTTCAGTCGCTCAAAGCCTTATTTAACCATTTATCTTAAAAGGCAGTTGTATACAGCTGACAGTCTAGATATTTCCGAACGGGTTTGACGCGTATAGCGCCAGGTAGGAGAGGAAACTTCGTGTGCGCATGTGTGTGTGTATGTCTGTCTTTGTGTGTGTTGTTTAAACAAAGATATCTTCTACTTATTTAAAAGACGGGAAGAATTGCACATTACGTCTTCTTTGCAAAACTCCTACTTCTCAGCTGTCAGACTTTCCGTCGCCGCTACCAAAGCCCCGCTCCTAGGCTCGGTTCGTCGTTTCTCGATTGGTTCAAATTTCAGTGATTCAGAACTATAGTGACAAGCCAAAGCGTGACACATCTTTTAATTCCCAAAAGTCTTCCCAGCCGACTGTCATCCGCGTCATATTCTTCACCCCGGGGAGAACTGGTTGGTTTCACACGCCAACCCACACACATAATGTCACAAAATTATAAATATTAAATGACAGATTCAGAAGAACGTCAATATATAATCGATATATATCAAATTTAATTATTCAAGTCAATGTAATAATATTGATATTAAATAAACAATGTTAGAGAAATTATATATATATATATATATATATATATAGTTAAGTAATGGAAATCTTGGTGATCCGTATGGATAATCCCAAGGGGGATGAAATCCGGAGAGCCCAATGTTAAACCAGAGCGATTAATATTTAATTTATTTAAGTTATCTATTTTCATTAAATTAAATTATATATATATATATATATATATATATATATACTTCCGCCCCATGAACCGGGGTAATTTAAAATAGCTCAAGCCCCAAGTGGGCAATACGGTACCTTTCCTTCGGCAGGGGGTTGGTGTCATTACCCATCGCCTGAGGAGTCCCCAACCATAAAGAGATGTGCCAAGGGAGCTTGAGCAATTCTTGATTGGCTTCCCACTTTAAACCTCGACTTTGTGTCCCCTTCTGTTCCGATGTGGGCTTACTTATATATATATGACTGATTGGTTGATTTGTTTTATCAACCTTTTGCAGGATATTTTAAAGACAGAAAATATTTTTAGATTGTAAAATGGGTTTGGTGATAATAATGATTTTTGATGATACAGTTTTACTAACTAACCCATAGCTTTGCGCGTAAGTGAATAATGTAACAAACCCGATTGGAATTGGAACTCGGCTCAACGAGTTTCAATTCCGAACCGTTATCCATTACACCATCCACACATCCAAGATTGCGGCACCTGATATTATCACGCGATCACCCATCTAGGTACAGGTCAGGCCCAACGTTGCTTAATTTCTGTGATCGTACGAGAACCTTTTATATATATATATATATATATATATATATATAAGATGATATATACAAAACTATATATCAAAGTAATAGTGGGTAATCGAATGACAATATGAACGCGTTTCGACCCTGCAAAGAACTTCTTCAGATTAATAATAGCATTTTCCCCTAGTCCAACGCACCTTCGGATGTAGGTGCAATATTGCCCTATCTGTGAAAATAATTTCCAGTTGAAGTTTTGTGCTTGCTGTATTTTAACATCTTCAATTCACTATTTACATTATTCGGACTATTGTCCTTATCTTTGTCGCCATATTTATTACAACGTTTCGGTCGTTGTACGCTCCGGTCTTCTTCCGGTGGTTGGAATGTCGAACTGAACATTTTATTTCGCTCACTGGGGTAGACTGTTCTAGTTCCACGTGAATGTCAGCTATCAGTATCTCCTCTTAATTCCCCTCTCCAAGTTCTCCACCGCCTTAACCAGGTATTGAACTCACACTCTTTGGGTCCTGTCACTGAATCTAGCTAAGGCCTTTATCTACTGTGCCATGTGCACTTGTGATAAATATGGCAACAAATAGTCCGAATAATGTAAATAGTGTACATAATACCTCATCTCAGAAATATAGACAGATACTGAAGGATCGAATAATGTAAATAGTGTTCATTGATACCTCATCTCAGAAATCTTTCATTCGTAGCTCAAATTTATTAAATATACACTCGCTTCTTTTTCTGTGTACCATATCCCTTCAGTGGGTGTGGACGATCATGGATTCCCACAACATCCTGTCTTTTGTAGCTCTTAGTATAGATGTCTTTTTCCTATATCTCTTGGTCCCTGTTCTGCCAACCATTTACACAAGCTCCTTGGGTAGATTAGACTATATAGACTAATATCTGAAAGAGCAATACATATGCTGATGGATATACACTTGTTTCATAGACAATGCAAAAACATCTCCTATGTCACAAAGCTCTATTTAAATTGCTAAGAAACTATGACTTATTTAGGGTAGACATAAAATATTTATCGAGAATAAACCATCGTCAGATGATAAGAAAATGAATTCAGTACACAAAAATGGAAAGGGGGATAATACAAGGATGTATATTCTCACCGGATATTTTTACAGCGAGTCAACCATAAGCTAGGATTCCTATTTATAATTTGTGGGTGTTGACCATGTTCACCATAGTCTATGAATATAGAATACAGCGCAGTACGTAATGTGTTCAATGAAACAACGTTAAAGATTAACACTCACGAGTCAGACACTCTACTGAATCTGACTATATCGCCAATACCACCAGCAGCTGTTCTGTAAATCTTCAGTCTTCGATATCAAAGGCTGGCAGTGCATATTCGGGAAAAACATGGCTGCCTCTATACACGTCGCATTGAATATTTTGAGCCTTCTGATTGGTTAACCCTTCTATTGGTGAACTATAAAATGAATCAGCTCATTTTGGCTGACTCATTAGTACACCAGGGTAGCCAAAAATTCCAACATGAGACACTCAGATGACACTGTGTTGATGACAGAAAACGAAGGAAATCCTAGTGAAGTTAGCAAAGGGAAGCGGAAAGAAAGAAGATATAGAATGTATAGTCACCAGCAAGAGGAGCGAGCCACTGTGCGAGCAGGGTTTCAACAGACAACAGAAAATGTAATACAGAAACAAGCATTGGAATATTGAAAGATGTTTTCCAAAAGCTAAGCAAAATATTAAGAAACGGGAAATTTTCATCGGAAACTAAAATAGTGCTGACGTGGAAAGAAAATAATGCTGACGCGGAAAGAAAATAATGCTGACGTGGAAAGAAAATAGTGCTGACGTGGAAAGGAAATATTGCTGTCTTGGTATGTAATATTGGAAGCGTTCTGAAAGCAAAGGAAATGTTTGTCGCAGATTACTCCCACAACGTACTGTAAGTTCAGACTCGAATATCGGGGGTGTGGAGTGGCAGAAAGAAATGACAAAAACTCAATTCGCAGGTACTGTCTCACAAATCCCAATGCACGTAACCAGTCAGAAAAATAACTCACTCTCCGACAAACACATTAGCCAAAATACATCAATTTTTTTCCTCTTGATTCGAGAATAACAACTGCTTTTATCGCATTTTTTCATTCGTCGACAACTGGGAGAGGACGCCAAATTTTTGCATATCAAAATACTTTTACAGCGACTCCTGCGACGGACTTGTTTTTAATTTAAATATTCTATCTTCAGCATGTCATGCGGAATACGTGTCCATTTTCTTGGTAAGTAATTTTCTTTTTCGCCACATTTTCCGTCATAGGATACACGCGACGCGCTGTTGCTTGGTTTGACGAGGTAAGTCGCCGTTTTCTTCGCTATAAATATTAATCCTCTAATATGGCAATGAGTACTAGACGACTTCCTCGCAGTTGAAGATAGCAGTGCCTACTGGACGGTTTCCTCAAAGGCAGTGAGTACTTGACGATTTCCTCAAAGATGAAGATGACAGTGGGTACTAGACGATTTCGTTACAGATGAAGATGACACTGAGTACTGGACAGATGAAGATGGGAATTGTAGCAACAGAGATACTGTTCTATAGCAGGATCTTGTAAATGTCATGAAAGGATCGTATGAATTTTTTGGGAATATGGAAGCAAAAGTGACATTTATACAATTATACTATCAGAAAGAGACCGTTTAAATTTCTAGAGCATATAATGAGGAAAGATAGTTTGTAGAAATTTGACATTCACAGGACATTGAGCAACTTACCCAACGCGCTTGGGTACATGGATGACAAAACACGTAGAGGAAAGAATCGATAAAAAAAACATTACTTAGAGCTGCATAGAATAGGAAGCTGTGGAGATATATGATCGCACACGTCCGGAAAATCAACAGAACTAACAAGATAAATAATTTTCCGATGACTTATAAAATCTATTGCAACACATAAATGCTCTTTTTATAAAGTAATTGTTTATAACTAATCAGTGATTGTATTTGTGTAATACATAAATGTAGCGCTAAAGGCAATCTTGCCTCCAGAATTTTTATAGTCCGTAAAATATATTGTCTTTTCTGTATGTGATGTCTGGGAATAAGAATGATCTCAGCATTCGTTCCACGCCATAAGCCTAATGGGAACATAGTACTTTTACCGAATGTTGTAGACGCTTTCGTATCAAAGGGGTTGTGTGTAGATAAACGCCCAACAAGACAAGATTAATTTTGCTGCGATATGGAAATCAGGTATAATCGATTGCGGAGCAAATACATGAAATCATTATTTCAAATAAAAGAAGTAGACATTGACCGACTGATAGATAGATAGATAGATATGAACAAACATGAGATAGATAGATAGATAGATAGATATGAACAAACATGGGCTAGATAGATAGATAGATAGATATGAACAAACATGGGCTAGATAGATAGATATGAACAAACATGGGCTAGATAGATAGATAGATAGATAGATATGAACAAACATGGGCTAGATAGATAGATATGAACAAACATGGGCTAGATAGATAGATAGATATGAACAAACATGAGATAGATAGATAGATAGATATGAACAAACATGAGATAGATAGATAGATAGATATGAACAAACATGAGATAGATAGATAGATAGATATGAACAAACATGGGCTAGATAGATAGATAGATAGATAGATAGATAGATATGAACAAACATTAGATAGATAGATAGTAAACAGAATGAGAAAGAGAGAGAGAGACCGAGAGACAGACTCAGTGAGTGGAAACATTAGCTAGAAAAGCTATATTTTTAATCTTCTCTACAGACAGGTTTAGGTACTTTTCTATTATCGACTGCCAATTGTTCTTTTTACTTAATGATTGAAATAAATATTCTAGTCAATTCTGCGAACATTGAAAAGGTTCTGGCCTCCTGAATCTCAACTACAATTTATTGGCATGTTGAAAATGAAATATTCTATTCCAAATTCTTTTAAAAAAAAAAAAGGATGTCTATAACAGAAAAGTACCCACATTTCTTAATAAACGTTTGGAAATAAACCGAAATTCAATGTTGTTAGGCTAAAATATTACTTCAAAAACAGAATCATTTACCAATTTCAAATAAATATCTTCTACACGTTTATTTCTAAGATTCTGGGAATGTTCTTCAGTTCGTGTCAGGTTGCTCTATTATTTATTATTTTCAAATTTGGTCAGATTGAATTTTCTTGCAAAATAATCAAAGATTATATGAAAACAAAACCAAGGAAATCTAATTATTTGCCATACAACTATAGTTAAAGGGGAAAAAAAGGAAGAAGCGAAAACAAGTTCCGATAACAAAGAGAGACTTTAGGAAAGAGAGTAAAGAGTAAAAAGGAGAATGAAGATGAATTGAAAAGACTATACAGAATAAACAGATGTGATATGTTATCGAGAAAAGAAAAGGTAAAGAATTGGTTGAGAGAAAAATAGAGAAAAGGGAGATAATAAAGTGAGGACGAAGGACATTTGATGAAAGTTTGTTTACGAAATCAGAGCTGAAATTGTTGTTTGAAGAAAGAAAGAATTTTAATGCATCTTTGGCACATAGATCTTACGAATTTGATCGCAGTACCAGATCGGCAGCCTGGTCTTATCATTTTCCATTTAAATTCGTAGATGCAACCATACGTTTTTCTCTCGCACTTCTCGCTAGTGAAACTCCATCCCGGCTTTTTGTTTTCCAGTCAACTTTGATCCTCAAATACTTAAATGCAATGTCAATCGTTATCATTTATCTTCTTAATTCTTTTTCTTTTATTTTCCTCTCTACTTAATAGTATCTTTTCCTGATATTAACTAATACTTCGCAACACATTGCATGTTAGTGGCTTTATTGCCTGGCCTAGTGTGAAATTAATTAAAAAAAAAAGGATGAATAAAAAGATCAACGGTAAAAGCAAAGAAGTTTAATTCAAAAGAAGAAAGAAAGTTTAATAGATGAATCCATATTATATATACACATCGAGTGCCTAAAAATCACCGACTGAAAAA